ATACAAAAAAAAAGGGGGAAACACGAGCTATTACTTCGCTAGAGAAAAGAGAGAGGAAAGTATAGAAATAAAGAATTTTTCTTATTCGCTTACTGTCTTTTTTTTTTATTAAGAAGTTTTGTTGAGTTTGGTGTTGGATGTCTTCTCCTTGTTCAATTCCAGATTTATTCTGTTATTTGGCTGCTTGGCTCTCTGCTTCTTCACTGATAGCACAATGTTGAATTTTCTTCTCTTGATTTTTTTTCCACGACTGTCGCTCGAAGCTCGTACATCTCTTTTTATACACTGGGGGTGGCTGGGTGGTAAGTTCCTCTCTTAGCGTCTTAGCTTTGGGAGGAGTGAAGTAAGCGATGATGCTTTCATTGGCCCATTTGTCTCTTCTCATTTTCTTCACTGATTTTTCGGGCCCTAATTGGAGCGGGGGCGTGGAGAAAATCGGAGGAGCGAACGCAGAGGTACAGGCCTTGGCTCGTGAGATGGCTCCTCGAGTACCATTCTCAACTAAGATTTATCCAATAAGTGGATTTACAATAACTTAAAAATTATTCTTTTTTGTAAACTCGATAACTTACAAGCTACTTAGTGCTAGGAACAATATTGTATTAAATTTTTCACTAATCATACAATTCTATTTCAGTTTTAATCAGAGTATTAATACAAAACTTATGTAACTTAATAAGGCGATTATCTCCTAATTTCTTACAATAAAAATCCGTTTAACAATATAGTGCGCGTATATAATAATTTTTTTTTTTTTGGATTTTTTCTGTTTTTCTTATTTTCTAATTAATCCTAGCTTTGAAATGAGAACTCGATGAGAGGTTTGAGAAGTCATAATTATCCGGGATGTATTGCGATAATGAAACAATTGTATTTAGATAATTTTAATTTTATTTCATTTCAATGGTAAATTTTTGAGCATTCTAAAAGGAGGAAAAATCCGTTGGAAAAGTGGCTTACAGGATGTTAGTCGCAGTTTTATGACTCTCTCCTCTCATCGACATGTTGACACGTGTTAAACACATACAAGGGGCTACACGCTCTTTGCATGCGTTTGAGAACGCTGGCTCGGATGCAGTCGCGGTTTTATTGTTTTTCGGGGAAAAATTCTAATAACTTGTTTCGGTGCCCCTCGCTTTTGAGCGACTGTTCTCGTTTCTCCGCTTGTCTTAAATGCTATACAGAAATATTAAAATTTTAAGAAAAAAAAATGGTCCGCCGTCACACTACTAAGAGTATTGGAATTCAGAAACAGATTTCTAACAAGGATGAAGAGAATGAAAATAAGTCTTCTGCAACTAAAAGAGCTTCAGATCATTCAACAGACGAGAAAGATACGCTTAAGAGATCAAAAATGACTAATAATGATGACGTGAACGAAATAAGTAATGATGTTTTTAACACAGAATTGCAAGAGGAAAAAACATCTGAAAAATCAACAGAAAGTGTATGTATCTGTATGATTATTATGTATTTCCTATTATATATATATATATATATATATATATATATATATATATATATATATATATATATATATATATATATGTATATGTCTTGTACATCTTTGTAATTTTTATTTCTATAACAATTAATTTTTCTAGCATGTGGAAGAAACCAATATTTCTCAGTCATCTTCCAATAACGTACAACCAAATGTGAGATAAGAATTGATCATCACTTTATTTTCTTAATAATATTAAGTTTATCTCGGCACTAACAAAAATTAATAAAACAATCAATTTTGTGAACATTTTCAGGAAGATAATAATAAGCCTAGTTCTTCTTCAAAAAGTGGTCAACTGAAGGTGAGATAATTATATTACTTCTTTAATAACAGCAACTTTTTGCCGATACTAAAAAACGTATTTTTTTTACTTTATAGGTAACCTATGAAGGTATAGTAAACTCTAACAATATGTTTCAAAAAGTGACAGAAATTGTACGATTGAAAAAAGAAATAGATAAATATAAAGAAAATATTGGAAAACTTAAGAAAGATATTGGGAAATGTGAGAAAAAATATTCTTCATTGAAAAAAGACATGAATGATATATCAGCAGAGAGAGATAAGTTGAAAGAATTTAATTACGACCTGCAAACAAAAGTTATTGAAGCAGCCGAAGAGCGCAAAAGTAAGTAAAACATTAAAAAATCGATTAACTGAACTTTTTTACGAAGTTTAATCAATGATTATGACCACATCAATAGCTATGCGGATAAAAACATATAAAAAGTCAAGTAACGATAGTCTTAGTGAGATATCTATCCGCAATATTTTCATAATTCTTACTTTTGTATAGAAGCAAATATTGATAGAACAATTCAATATACTTCCAGCTATCAATGTGATGCTGAACAAGTTGGGTGTATTGTTTACTGATACAAACTATCCAATTGTAAACGATATATGGTAAATGAAACGGATTTTGTTTGTTGTATTTATGTTTTGTTCATTCTCTAGTATCTACGCTTCATTATCATTATCAAATGTATTAGTTGATTTTTATTATCAAATGAAAGGATGGGAAATTAAATAATATATGTACTCAATGGGAACAGTAATAAGAAAATGCTAAATATTTTAATACTTAATTATTGTTATTCATTTTATTATTAAACGAAATAAATGTCCGAGATAGACAGTATTCTCAAAATCATCACTGTATTGAAATATAAAAAGATTTGTTTCAGATCAAATTTTATGTATAACAGTAAAGTTGTTGTAAAGTATTTAGCATTAACGTTACGTATATTTTACCAAAAATATATTTATGCATGCTGGTTATATAACTTTGCGAACCCGTGAATCATTACGTGATTAATTGACTTTGAAAAATAGTACATTGTGTACCTATAGGGCGGAAAGTGGGGGTTTTGCGACTGAGTGTGAGATTACAGTACGAACCAAGGTGAGCTAGTATGAGCCGCAGGGCGTTTGCGACCCGAAGACGAGTACTGCAAGCACACGAGGGCGAAAACCCACTTTTTGCTCACGGTGCACACTATATTTTTTATGACGCATGTATTGAAATTCGTGTTTTTTCGTTTTTTCGTCTTTAACAAGCGGATCGGAGTCCACGAATTTTCAACGCAGCAACTATCCTATAAAATTATATCATTGTAATAACTATATATATATATATATATAAAGCGAAAAAAATATGTATATTTGTATGAATCAAACTGAGCGGGCGCAAAGTATTTTTCTGCTCGTAAATTTTTTTCGGCTGCTCGTCGGAAATACGAGGGTTTCAGCCCGCTTTTTAAGGCGGAAAAAGGTGAATTTCGTGCATGTGTTACAAAAAAATTTTTTTATAATAAATCAATAGCTAACAAACATTGTTCAATTGACATTTGAAACCATAACTTTTTGAAATCAATAATTAACGGGGGGGTTATTTTATTATATTATTTCAATATTGCGCTTTGCTTCTATTATTTTTTTCACAAATACAGAAATATAACATTTAATATGCCTATAAGTACGTTGAAAATAACGTAACATCAAATTTTCATACAGTATATTTTCTTTCTGAGTACAAAAACATGTCTAAGTAATCTTTGATTGTGCATATATAGACAACTTGATAACGAAATTATCCTTCCGCTTTATATACAGTCATGAAAATAGAATCAAATGATTTCAGTATTTGTGATAATTAATAAAGTATATAACACGCAAAGGGCGTTCTTGGTCTACGTAGGGGCGGCATTTTATAACTTTTGTCTGTACGGTTACCAATTTGTCTATCGGCCTATGATAGAAAGAAAATAACTATAAATCAAGGAGTATGAACATCCACTGTAACTCAATCACCGCGAGGCCAAAACTTATAAAATTTCGTTGTTTATAATGATATTGAATACTTAATTGTCTTCATCCCGTATACCTCACCATGCTCTTATCATTTCGCACTTATATTCATTATTATTATGTGCTATAATATGCTGATTCCTTTGCTACTCAATTCATTTTCATTTTTGTTTATCGTGATAAAAAATATCCGGATTCGAGGTTTCATGATACATATCAAGTAATAGTATTTAATAGTATTTAATAGTTTACTAATTGATTCCAATTATATAAATGATATCCAATGGTTTATAATGGTTTGCTACTGTTAATAAATTATACAGTTTTAGTGAATAATTCGGTTTGGTTTTCTCATATACTCCTTATTTAGCATGCATACCCTGTTTCTTCATTATTTTGCAACCTTTGCAAGCTTTTTTGTAATTTTTTTAAAATTTTATAGTTATTGACAAACAAAGGAACGAAGCTAAAGATGCACCAATGGCATATCCTCAAGATCTCCCTATAGGCCAGAAAAGAAAAAATGGCGACGTGCGTATATTTTTTTTATATAAATTAAAGATATTTTGCAGTATATATACACGTATATAAATCAATATTTTAATAGGTTCATTTGGGTCATGATATTTTTATCTCAGAAACCTCCTTAAATAATATTCTCTGCTGTTCAATTACTCCATCCCAATTTGTCGGAAACTTGATTCTCGCAAAGTTTTCTGAAACAGTCTTGATTAACAGTGTTGTATCGATACCATGTTAGATGGCGCTACGATGCACTCTCTCATAAGTTGTCCGGCGTATCACGGCAATGTAACATACGTTGAGCCAATAAAGTTTCCATTAAGTTAAGTTAAGTTGTCCGGCCGTCCGGCTCGCAAGATATCAGATACAGTATGGCCGCTGAGAGGTGTGAGCATGAAAGTAGTCACGCCGTTTCGTTCTTTTGTGTAGCCTACAAGTGTTCATGTATAATGGTCCTTATCATTAAAATCTGTCATTTTATTTAAATGTGTTTATTCATTGACTATAATATTCATAACATATATTACATTGGCGACGAGGTAAATCGGTGATTCGCGTGTGAAATAGAGTGCATTCGAAAGGGTTTGTACATTCGCCGGAAGCGAGGCTGAAAGGGGAGAAGCGTGGTGTGTATACACAAGGGTTACATATTCAAGCAAAAATGGCCAAAAAAATGACACAAGATGAATTGGAAGCGTGGCAAACGAAAATGGAAGAAGAAAAGCTGAAAATGGATGCGTATGTGGCGCAGTTGAATGCATTTCAAACAAACTTAGACAATCAAGCGCAACAGTTGAACGATGAAAAAGCAAGTCTTGACGAATTTAAGAAAAAGTTTGACGTGGACAGAGCGGCATGGTCGAGCAGTGTGTCGCTACCAGTGCATCAAGTGACCACCATTGTTAAAGGAACAATAGGTAATATAAATGAATTTAACGTTGAAAAGGATGACTCGATTTTGTGGTACGATAGACTGCAACAGTACTACGAATCAAACGATGTAGTCGAAGACAAGAAAGTATCAGTGTTTCTCACGTTAATAGGCAGTGAAGGTTATGCCTTGTTAAAAGACTTATGCATCCCGGTAAACCCTGCGAATAAAACATTGCAAGAATTAGAAAGGATTATGCGTGAGCATAAAAAGTCAAAGCCTAATGTAGTGACTCAAAGATTTTTATTTAAAACGAGAAAACAAAAAGAAGGTGAATCGGTGATGAGTTTTATTGCAAGTTTGAGAAAAATTTCTATAGACTGTGAGTTTGGTGCTACATTAGAAGAAAACTTAAGAGATCAAATCCTCATTGGAGTGACGAGTAAAGAAATCAAGAAGAAATTGCTGTCCGAGAAAAACCTAACCTACAACAAGGCGGTAGAATTGGCGCGCTCATTGGAAACAGTAGGCATGGACGCGACGATGCTGGAGACTTCTGAGAAGAACGCAATCAACTACGTAACGGACAAAAGAGGTAACAAGAAAAACTACAAGCGTGATACGGTATGTTGGTGCTGCTGAAAAAACAACCACATGAAAGATGATTGTAGATTCAAAGACTATAAATGTAAAATTTGTAATAAAGTAGGTCACTTAGCGAAAATTTGTAAATCAAAAGAGAAAAATTCTAATTATAACAATGAAAATGCTCAAAGTTCAAAAGAAAAAATTGATAAATCTTCAAAGAAAAAAATTTTTGAAAAAAATAGCAAACATAATTATGTACAAGAAAATAGTGAAAGCGATGACAATGTCGATGATTTTAGTAATGAAATTCATAGCATGTATCATATAAAAATTTTGAATCGATAAAGTCAGTAAAACCAATTGAAATTGATTTAATAGTAGAAAATAAAAATTTAAAATTTGAAATGGATACAGGTTCTCCCATTTCAGCTGTATCAATTAAAGAATATAAGAATAATAGTACATTGTCTAAATTGAAATTATTACAAACGAGTAGAAAATTCAAAACGTATCAAGGTGATATAATTGTACCGAATGGAATTTTAAAAGTAAAAGTTAAAAACAAACAAATAGAAAAAAATTTAGAATTATTTGTTATCAATGGGAACAGTGAACCTATTGTGGGAAGGGATTGGTTAAGTATATTGGTCATAGTTAAATTCAATAATGAAAAGAATGAACTAAAGATAAATTCCGTAAATTCAGTAACTGACACAAATGGAAGTAACTATCTTGAAATAATTGAAGAATTTAGTGAAGTATTTTCAAATAAATTAGGGAAATACAATGGTCAACCGGTTAAGTTACATTTAAAACCAAATGCTAAACCCATATACTGTACCCTAATATAATATAATAACCATACCCTGTCGCATATGCTATGAAAGAAAAGATTGAAAAAGAAATAGAGAGATTAATAAAAAATGATGTCGTCTCACCTGTTGAAAGTAGTGAATGGGCTACCCCTGTAGTCCCAATTGTTAAACCAAATGGCGAAATTAGGTTATGTGGAAATTATAAAATTACGGTAAATCCTCATTTGAAAGTAGATAGACATCCTGTTCCTAGAGTAAATGACATAGCACAAAAACTACATAAAGGTAAAATTTACAGTAAAATTGACTTAAGACACGCATACCAACAGTTAAGTTTAGCAGAAGAATCTAGAGAGCTTGTAACACTCAATACTCATAAAGGTTTATTTAGACCTAAACGATTAAAAGATGGTATTGCATCAACTCCTGGTTTATTTATAAGAGTAATGGATAACTTGTTAAAGGATATTCCAGGTACTGCTGCATTCTTTGATGATATCTATATATCAGGACAAACAATATCTGAACATGACCAAAATCTAACAAGTAACCCTACCCAAGTGTCACTCACCGATTTTAACCAAACTTGGCACATCGTTAGAGCACTAAAAAATATTGAACCCGTGTTTTTTTATTTTGGCCGAATCCACTGTTAAGGGGTAGAAACCACCCCTAATAACCCCTAACCAGGCTAACCCACCTAACTCTGGGTAGAGCGAGTTTGATTAATTATTTTTTCACAAGAAGGTTAACTTCTCAACCCGGATAGGCTAACCCATTTATAACCTGATATAACCGATCCCCACAAATCACTATATCCCTTATACACCATCCCTATCAACCCCTAAGCAGGCTAACTCACCTAGCCCTGGGTAGAGCGAGTTTCATCAGCTGCTTTTCTATAGGAAAATAAAGATCATAACCAAAGAAAGGTCAATAAAATTTTACTTTGTAATAAAACTTTTGTATAAAAAATGAGTTAAAACCTGTAAATTTCATAGAAATAAATAAAACCGCAGCCAACTCGATGGAAGTAAGCTTCTTCAAATAAAATGTTCATTCGCAAGCTTTTTTTGTAACAACGACTATACTTTTCTTGTATTATCTTTGTATTTTTTTTAAGGTTTAAAAAGTTGAAAAAAATCTTTTGACCTTAAATATTTTGAGAATAACAGTAACTGTGATTTGAAATTACTTTTTGAAGAACCGTCGCCATTAGCGTGACCTAATGTGCACCGCGTGGAGGTTATCGATCGGATTTTGCACATCATTTGGCCATAAAAAGGGCCGTTTGGAATTTTAAAAGATTTTTTATAGTAAGTGGAGTTCGTTTAAATATCATAAAATTAGTGAAGACAAAAGTAACACGAAACAATAAAAAATGTACTATTATTTAAAATATAAAATATTCATAATAAAATTACTATTATTATTTTAATATTTAAGTGGAATTAACGTATTGCTTACAATAGTGTGGTTTATCGACATTGTCAAGAGCAAAAAAGTGGTTTATACAAAGACATTTGGTGCACCATGCACATGTGACAATCCCAAATAGCATACAAAAGTGGCATTTAACATCAGTATGTTGAAAACAATACTGAACAGGGGTTTGCCAACTATTTAGTTTTTCAAGTACGTAACCACTTTTGTACCATCCATATTTGAACATGTTTGTAAATCGTGGTGAAGAAAACTGGTTATGCATAAGAGATTGTAATTTAAAAATGTTATTACGTAAATGTAAGTTAATGCTAAAATTGTACAACATAACTATATCTGAAAAGTTTTTTACAAAATTTTTCCAAGGTCTAAATCCATAGACATCTAAAGGCTGTATCATTCCCGTCGTTCCAGCAGGTATAGTTTTAATTTGAATATTTTTCATACCTGTATCCAATTTTTCAAACACTTTTTCATTTTGTCCAGTCCAAGAATCTAAAATTAACAAACTATCCGTATCAGCTGCAAGTAAAAAAACGTTTTTAAACCATTCAGTTACAATATCAGATGTTAGTTTTCCTGATTTTGAAGGTAAAACATAAATATTATCTGCTTTATAAATAGTAGATTGTACCAATGGTCCAAATTTACGATCAGGTTCTTTTAAAACTATTAACAAAGGTGAGTGTAGTTTTCCATCTGCTGAAACGATTGGCTGAATTGTATAACTATGTGTTAAAGAATTTATCGACTGTGCTAGACATTCTACTTTTTGGGTGCCTATGATTGATAAAGTACGGTCAGCGTGAACCTCTAGATTAAACCCTGATTGGTCAGAATTATAAATATTTTTTTTACCTCTTGCTTCCACTTCTGACCATACCTCGTCTACAAATTCAGAAGCTGCTTGCTTCAATTCGTATTGATTTGTCAACTGTGTAGTAGTAACAAACTTATTAATTTTTCTTGAAACTATTCCATGTTTCACTTTAAAATTATGCACCCATTTTGGCGACGCTTTAAAATATTTTGAAGCTAATTGTACACTTTCTTTTGCCAATAACCCCCATCTTTTTAAATCGATATCATGAACAGGTAAACGATTTTCAGTAGCATTATTGAATTGCTGTAAAACGTATTTTGAAATATTGCGTAACTTTTCTAATCTGGATCCTCCTTCTTCTATTTCTTTTTCCCATCTGTACAGCATTCTCTCATGTTTTACCATCTTAAAATTTTTCTTTACTGAATCCAAACTTCTCCTTTTTTTAGTACTACTTTTACGCCAAAAAGTAACTGCTCGTTGTTTATAATCCAAATCGACATCCTCTGATTGGTCAGAAATTTCTTTTTCTTCATAGTCATCGAAATCTTCTTCTACTTCATCTTCCACGCTTATAGCATTAGCTTCTACGCTATCATCATAGTAACATAAAGTTTCGTAATTTTCAACAAAAATTTTAGTATTCGATGAAACTTTTATTAGGTCTGTTAAATACGAAGCAAAAGATCGTTCTTCATCTGTTATTTGACTTTGGATATTATATGCTGGGTCATTAAATGCAGAATACAATAAATTCAAAATATTTTTTGGGTTCATCAGCAAGGTGGGCTATTTGAATTATTATTGAATAAAAAGAAAGAAAAAGATACTCGTAAGTTATCAAATTATTTATTCCACACGGTTCTTCTGTTTCTCTTTGAATTTATTTCTTATAAGTTGATATAAAAAATGATAGTAGATAAATTTAAATTATGTTCTGTTTTTAGTTGGTATAGGTATTTTAAATGATGCTTAAGGTTGACGTTTCGATATTATTCCTTAGAATCAATTAATATCATCTGATTGCGCGTAAACTTAACCCTGAAGGTACATACAGGACTAAAATACCCGGATGTAAAATTGAAAAATGTTTGAAAAATTCACTTTTGATCTTGTAAATCTCTAAATATAATATTTATACTTTAATAAAAAAATGTTTGTCATATTTCCAGAAAAATTTACTTTTGTTAAAAAATATTATATTTAATAAAATATAAAATATATTTAAATTTAATAAAATAGAAAATTAAATCAAGATACGAATTGTAAAAGAGACCGTAAATACATCCACAGTGAACCAAACTGAAGCTTTAGGATAGTACACCTTAAAGATTAATTTAAATTAAGTTTTTTATATTTTTTATGTATTGAAAGATAGAGGCATTTTAATACTTGGAAATTGATAGGGGCGGTTTATGAGGATTGTGCGGATTTGTGCGGATGAGGTACATCAAGGTTGAGGTTGTGTTGGCCTATCAGTGGTTATGATCTTAATTTTTTTACAGAAAAGCACCTGATGAAACTCGCTCTACCCAGGGCTAGGTAGGTTAGCCTGCTTAGGGGTTGATAGGGATGGTTTATAAGGGATATAGTGATTTGTGGGGATCGGTTATATCAGGTTATAAATGGGTTAGCCTATCCGGGTTGAGAAGTTAACTTTCTTGTGAAAAAATAATTAATCAAACTCGCTCTACCTAGAGTTAGGTGGGTTATCCTGGTTAGGGGTTATTAGGGGTGGTTTCTACCCCTTAACAGTGGATTCGGCCAAAATAAAAAAACACGGGTTCAATATTTTTTAGTACTCTAACGATGTGCCAAGTTTGGTTAAAATCGGTGAGTGACACTTGGGTAGGGTTACTTGTAAGAAAAGTGTTGTCCACTCTTAAGGAAAAAGGGATTACTGCAAATAAAAATAAATGCGAGTTTGCAAAAACAGAAGTTAGTTTCTTAGGATATATGTACTAAATAGTAAAGGACTACACGTTTCAAATAAAAAGATAGAATTACTTCTAAATATGGAATTGCCTGGTAATGAAAAAGAATTGTTAGCTTTTTTAGGAATGATTAATTATTTTTCGATGTTTGTAAAGAATTATTCAGATATTGTTACTCCGTTATATGAATTATTAAGAGATGAAGTTAAATGGGAATGGACACCTAGACGAAAAAAAGCTTTTACAGAAGCCAAAGAAATGTTATGCTCAAAGCAAGTATTAACTCATTATGATGAAAAATTACCGATTAAAGTAGGCGCTGATGCCTTACCCTATGGCATAGGCGGTGTAACGGTAAACGTCAAATTAGCGCTGATAACCTAATTTAATTGCTGTCTGGGAGGGCAGCGCCTGCCGGGGGGACGAAATACGTAACGAAGGAATTCGGCACGCGAGCAGACGGAACGCGCGCGATTGAAACCGAACGAGTGAAGCTTCAACTATCATTGAGTCCGCCCGCTTTCGCTATCGCTATCGCCGATCCACGAGCCGTCAACATCGACACGCCAAAGCAGCAACAGCCAGTTATCCGTGATCGGAGCTGCCAAGGTGCCATCCAGCTACCAGTTCGGAGCCAGGTCGAAAGAGTGTGCGGGAGGTTTCGCCATCGAGGGCGAAACCATAACCGTGTGCGCGCATTCGCGACCGGCGACAAACATTCAAAAACTGTTCCGCTCTGTGCGATTTATCCGTGTTTCCTTCGATCGCCTGCAATAATAAGGTAAGCTGGCCAGCTTAATTTCGCGATCGCGGTTGCATGATCAATAATTAATTTCCGATATTCGAAGCGTGCATGTAGCGGCTCTAATAACAAAGAGCAGCGAGCGTCCCGGCAAGACGTGTTGCCGACGAGCGAGCGTCAATGTAAACAAACGCGCGGGCCGACTTTATGTAGTGTTTGAATGGTAATAAAAGGCTCCGTTCGTGTTATTAACAAATATTTTTCGACTCGCTCATTTCATATAGCTTCCACTCACTTTTCTTAGATTAAAGGACTTACTGGTTGACTGACGCACGTTTCCACATGCTCTCCGATTTAAGTATTGAGCATAAATAATTACGCGCGTCCTTTTAGTATAATTGCGCGAATAAAATAATTAAATGGTTTTACCCCGTTACAGCGGATATATATCACATATATTTCCTGACGGAATTGAAAGACCAATAGCATTTGGTTCTAGATTATTAACAAAAGCTGAACGTAATTATGCACAAATTGATAAGGAAGCATTAGCTTTAACTTTTATAGTCACACATTTTTATCAGTATCTATATGGTAGGCAGTTCATTCTAGAAACCGACCACAAACCATTAATTCATATATTTGGTCCAAAGAAAGGAATCCCTCAAATGGCAGCTAGTAAATTACAACGCTATGCTTTGATATTAGCTGCATATGATTTTATTATTAAATATATAAAAGGAAAAGATAATTGTGTTGCTGATAGCTTGTCTAGAAATTTAATAAGTAAGGCTAGAGAAATTTCGAAAGAAGATAATAAAGTTGATTATTCTTTTTTAAATTTTGTAACTGATAATGTTAAAACCTTGGACACAAATGCTATTGCAGTCGAAACACAGAATGATTTAGTTTTAAGTAAAGTAAAAAAATATGTACTACAAGGTTGGCCAAAATCGGCAGAAAATGATGAACATTTAAAACCATATAAAAATAGAAAATTTGAAATAACTATTGAACAAGATGTATTGATGTGGGGACATAGAATTATTATTCCGAAGAAAATACAAAATGATATATTAAATGAGTTACACTGTACTCATCTTGGAATTGTAAAAATGAAAGGGTTAGCCAGGTCTTATATTTGGTGGCCGAACATAGATAAAGATATTGAGAACATTGGAAAATCTTGTAAGCTCTGTTTAGAAAATGCAAACAATCCTGTTAAATCTAGTTTACATGTATGGAAATGGCCTGAATGTCCTAACTACCGAATTCATGTGGATTTCTGTGGTCCAATCAATAATTTCATGTACTTAGTTTTTACTGACGCTCACTCAAAATGGGTAGATGTCAAAGAAATGAAGGATATTACGGCAGACAGTACTATTGATATGTTCAGAGAATACTTTTGTGTTTGGGGATTACCAAACGAACTTGTTACTGATAATGGCCCTTCATTCACCTCTGAAAAATTTAGTAAATTTCTTGAACAAAATTATGTTAAGCATATCAGGACTGCTCCGCATCATCCTCCGTCAAATGGTGCTGCAGAAAATGCTGTCAAAACCTTCAAGTATAAATTTAAATTGTTACTGAAATCTGGTCTATCGAGGCATGAAGCTTTATGTAAATATCTATTTAGTTATAGAAGTACACCTCATTGTACAACAGGTTGTACTCCGGCTGAGTTACAATTAGGTCATAAATTAAGAACTAGATTTGATCCTTTAAAACCATTTGATAAAGAAACTGTATTAAAGAAGCAAGAAAGTCAACGGTATTATTATAGAGGACATAGAAATGTCACTTTTGATGAGGCTGATCCTGTTATGGTTAAAGACTACAGTAAAAACAATTGGCGCTCTGCCAATATCCTCGAGAAGTTAAGTCCTGTTACGTACTCTGTCAAGATAATAGAGTTTGGAAACGTCACATTGATCAAATACATAACAGGAATGCTAATTTCAATGAAAGTAACAGTTCTAATCATCCCAAAGATTCGACTGACTCAAATATAGATTTAAGTTTTGTTCCTTCAGTTCTTGATAATGGTATTAGCGATAATACTGATTCAATTAAAATTACTAATCATAATGTGAATACCAAAGAGTCTCCCATGTTAAGTGATGTTTATACTGAATCTATCGATATAGAAAATATGTTAAATAAATCAAAAATTATAGATTCTCCCATGAAAGTTGTACCGTTGCGCAGATCTAAGAGAACAATAAAACCAAGGAAAATTTTAGATTTATAAACTCAACTTATGAGGGAGGAATTGTTGTATCGATACCATGTTAGATGGCGCTACGATGCACTCTCTCATAAGTTGTCCGGCCGTCCGGCTCGCAAGATATCAGATACAGTATGGCCGCTGAGAGGTGTGAGCATGAAAGTAGTCACGCTGTTTCGTTCTTTTGTGTAGCCTCCAAGTGTTCATGTATAATGGTCCTTATCATTAAAATCTGTCATTTTATTTAAATGTGTTTATTCATTGACTATAATATTCATAACATATATTACATTGGCGACGAGGTAAATCGGTGATTCGCGTGTGAAATAGAGTGCATTCGAAAGGGTTTGTACATTCGCCGGAAGCGAGGCTGAAAGGGGAGAAGCGTGGTGTGTATACACAAGGGTTACATATATTACAAACAGTACGCGCACTGGGCGCATAAGTAATAAAACATTAGGCAGAAATAAAAGTCAGGACTCAAAAAAGAATGAAAATCCTGTGGATACAGATAGTATTGACCAGTCGAACAAGAAAACTTTACCTGCTCCAAACAAATTGGACGCAACAATCTTAAATGCTTGTCAAAGTAAGCACGCAAAATAAATCTGCCATTCTAGTTTATAGTAAATTATGTTTGTTACGCAAAATCTACTATTATACTTTTCAGTGTACTACAACTTTTGGTTGCATACGCATTACATGGAGTCGTTAAGCGATAAAGAAAAAAAAAATTTCGATTACTCGACCGAATACAAGCAGTTTAATCATCATGTGACAACGAAAATTTCAAATCTAAAAAAACCAAAAGAAAAACCGAAACTAAAAGGTAATTAAAAAAAAATCATAAAAAATTAGTGTAATTTAACAAATTTATTTAACAAATATTTTATATGGTAGGTAAAAAGAACGAGTCCGATCTCAATGATGAGATAGCAACTGATATTGTTGTTGAAGCAGAAATGCATGAATTGTCTAGACTGGATTCAATGATTTTTGTACGTGCCAATGAGGATGTTTCAGATTCAGAGGTAAGCGCGTCTGAATTGGTATCTGAGGAAGAATTAGATGATCAAGACCCTTTGAAAATACTGACATCAGCGCCTCAAGAAGAAAAAGATATAGATGATTCTGCAAAAGTGTCTAGCGAATTGGAAGAAGAATCATTTGAAAAGCAAGAACAAGTTGATAAAAGTGCAGAATAAAGCTCTGCATAAGTCATCAACATTGATACTAAATACGATCTCAGCAACACATCTATAAAGTATTCAATAAATTTCGATTTTTAGTTACCATTAAAATTAGTTTTTGACGTACAAAAAAGTACTTACTCTATTAAAAGATGTATTTATATTTATAATTATTTATATTTATCTTATTTAATCTTCCTTATAACTCATGTATTTAGATATCATTGAAAATGATGCATTTAGATAGCTTTGTTACCATTAAAAAACATTAACTCAAAAGTTGAACATGTATATTGAGAATTATTTAAATCCATTAATACTAGTTGTACTAATTAATATTAAAAATCATTAAAAATTATTTATTTTAGAGTCTAATATTCTATTACAAACCATTCAATACCCGAAACATGGCTATACCATAAAAGCTTATTGGTACTCATTCATTTAGATGGATTTGTTACCATCAAAAAACATTAATCTCATAAAAGTTGAACATGCATATTGAGAATTATTAAAATCCATTAATACTACTACAATTAGTATTAAAAATCATTAAAAATGATTTATTTTGGAGTCTAACATTCTATTACAAACCATTCAATACCCGAAACATGGCTATACCATAAAATCTTATTGTTACTCATTCATTTAGATGAATTTGTTACCATTAAAAAACATTAATCATAAAAGTTGAACATGTATATTGAGAATTATTAAAAGCCAATAATACTACTACTATTAATATTAAAAATTATTAAAAATGATTTATTTTGGATTCTATCTCATATATATTCCATTACTAATCATTCAATACCGATACTACTATATTATTACAACAATTTATTAAAGGCTATTCATTTAATGGAATTTTTTACTGTTAAGTATTATTCCATAATAGTTTCTATACTTGAATGAATTTTAATCCTCGATCTTAATACTAAAAATTACGATTAATAACGATTGAACAGTTATATAGTCAAAAAAATATTTAAAACTATTAAATATTTTTTATTGAATGATCACATTTTATATTAAGTATCATTCAGAATGATTGTACTTCAATGAATACTAATCGTAATCTATCGGTTAATAATTAATAGAATTTAATAGATTCCAAAAATCAAATCCTGGTCAGATTATGAAATGGATTCAATGGTCATATGCACGTTTAAGATCGAGGATTAAAAATCATTGATCTTTTTTTAATAGTTTTTAATGGAACTTTTTCAGCGGGGCCGCGAAACGTTTTTGGAAACTATTTAGGGAATATTTCACAACTCTTTTTAGCCAGGTTTCGAGAAATACTTCATTGAGCTTTCAGAAAAAAATACAAGTTTATTTTAAAAATATTTTAAAAATATTTCACAAAACCATTCGTGAAAGCAAATTGCAAGCTACCATTGAAGCGTTATAAAAATATACATGAAATATTTCCGCGAAAAGTTTTCCAAAAAGATTTAGAGAATATTTCACAACTCTTTTCAGCTAGGTTTTGAGAAATATTTCATTGAGCTTTCAGAAAATCATACAAGTTTATTTGAATTTCGGGGGTTTTAACTGCGCTACGAGTTTCTTCCGCCACAAGGCCTGTTTGACTGAATACCCCCGATTATTTAGGGCGCCAGACCGCCGGCTAATTAGGGCGATCGTCGGGGGTAGGGCCAAAATGGGGTTTCGTTGCGTGTATCCCGGTTTGCCTTCACGGCGACTGCGCAGGGTAGGCAAGCGGGTGAGTACTCGCGATCTCCTCAGTTTAGGCCTCGGTGTCCAACTACTCGATTCCAATTTTTCCTCCTCAATTATGGTAAGCCGGCAGCTCAGATGATGGTTTCTTAATTCAGGTCATAAGTCTGTTTGAATTCGCGCGTATGTTACCTATCGTGGGACCCGAAAATATAGCGAATCAGCGTTATCCGATTATAACCGCCCGCGGCTGAAAATCACCAGCATGTAATTAAGGCAGGGTAACGGAAGTAAATTGTAGGTAAACAATTCATCACTTTATTGACGCATTTATTAATTTATAAGCAAGAAGTCGGAGTGATTAGGGTCAGTACAACTCTGAATAATTATGAAATAGCAAGGGTACAAATTAATCGAAATATTAATAATTTTCCGGTAGGTCTTCGATTAACAAAGATGGTGGAATGGTCAGCGCAAATAACTAAATCACGAATTTTCTTTGTCTGATCTTAACGCTCACGTTCGGTTTGCGAAATTGCGGGAAGGTTAGTACCATTAAATAAGCACAGTAAGTTTATTCGGCTAATTCTGCGTTCGCAATAAATTGTTAGCGAAAGGTCAGCGCGAATATCCTAAATCACCAATTTTCTTTGTTTGATCTTAACACTCACGTTCGGTTTGCGAAATGGCGGGAAGGTTAGCACCATTAAATAAGCACGGTAAGTTTATTCGGCTAATTCTGCGTTCGCAATAAATTGTTAGCGAAAGGTCAGCGCGAATAACTCAACTACTGCCTCTAATCCGTATAAACCTAACACTCACTTTAGATCTACGAAATGGCGGAAAGGTCAGCGCGATTCGATAGGCACCGGCATCGACGGATCCACGCGTCGCGACGACCTACGGCACTGAATATTTTACTCCCACACTCCGCGATTAATATAAGTAGGTGGCACTTTGTCTACTTACAATTTTTCCTTACTATTTCGGCGAACAAAATTAGCTAGTACAGAATGTCTGCGTAATTAGTCCTGTGTGACGAAATTATCTGGCTCAATCACTCCTTCTAGCTAGAAGACCGGTGGCAAAATGGACGAGAATCGGCTTTTCGCGGTCAAAGATCGCTTTTCTTCTCCTCTTTCCGAGAAGAAATGTTATTATTGGTCGGTATGCTAATTCGGATATCGGTAGCGCCCTCCGAATATTTTAACATTTGTCCGTATGTAAATTTGAAGGATATAGCGCCCTCCTTAACTCTCCTACTTTCGTCGTTATTTACCCTCTCTCACCCCCCACTAAGGTAGCTATTATTAATTGTCGGAAAAGATCTACCCCTACTCTTATCTATTTTTCTATCCGGACAAAAATCAAATTTTATTCTAATTCACTGATTGGTCGTGACGTCACTAGCGAATTTCGTCAGAGATTCGAATTCTGTCGGTTAATTTATTGCTTAAACCTAACGGGGTAGTTGTCGCTCGCTATCATAATAGGGGTGTCGGTCGCATGCGAATTTTACAATTCGGTATCTATTCCATGTTCATTCTTTTTCAATTATAATTTCAATTTTAATTTTAATTCGTCATGAATACGTATATAATATACGTCGTTTCAATTGTAGCGCCCTCATCCTCGCATTTGCATATTATTCTATTCATCATTTCATATCATCTGTCTCGCTCGCTCTTGTTTAGTCTATTTCGCTCGCTCTGTCTCAGTCTGTCTCGCTCGCTCGTTCTCAGTCTGTCTCGGCGTTTCAAAATGGCCGCTCGGTCTCTCGCGCGTACGCCTCGTGTTCCTGTATCGGTTGTTGGAGCGCCTCCTGGGGCGCTCCCGTGTCGGTTAAGTGACGTGTTCCCGGGTGTTTGTGTGGTAGTTGTTCTGCTTGTGTGTGGTGCTCAGGATGTCGCCTATGGTGTTCGGCAGCCCGACACAGCTGATTGCCGGCTGCCACTTCATCGGCGATTTTCTGCTCACCCCAGGAGTGCTTTGTGAGTGTTAGTGTTGGTGTCTGGGAGTGTAACGGATCTGCATGTGTCATCAACATGCATTTCCGTTGCATTTCCCAGTCAAGTTTTTCCGTTTTCTTTTGCCGGTCGGCAACACGTGGTCGGGAGTGAGTGTGTGCGTGCGCTCTCTTATTTCGTGGTG